AATGATCTATTGTTACACGTTAGACGTCATTGAAAAGGATCGCTTTGGTTGATCGAAACGTTTGACTTGTTCAACTGTATTAAACATTAAAAATCTGATATTATATTCGCACCCAACACCCAGCGTTTGGCTCTTGTTGCCTCTCTATGCTTATTCTTTTAATTTACTACTTCTTCAAATATTTATGTAAAATTATTACATTGCCGCGATTGACTTGATACTTTTTTCTTTGGTTGAAATTCACGAGACCATCGACCTCAGAAATTGCAAGGACAGTAATATGTTGGCCGTGGATTTATTAATACTCCGAACACACACAAGCGAGGGGCCCGCTGCACATTTTCACCGTATATACAATATTCCTCCGGTTGTTATTACATAAAAATATTTCCCGGTCCACTTATGCAACGTTTACGTAATGTTATTACTCGCGCAGAACGATCGGCAACAACACGCTTGATAATTTAGCAATAGCACATAGAGGATATGCAACTCGTAAGAAACGCTATCCGATTTTTCTTTTATTCTCGTTACTCTATCTTGCTTCTCGTCTTCGCCCTTTCTTCGCCCTATCCGATTCCCTTTATCGCGCGTATAAATTTCGCATTTTTCATCTTTTTCGCGATACCGCGTCCGAAGACGCAGGTCCACGATCATCGTTCTCGATCACTTGGTCGACCGATCGAGCGGAAATGAAAACACGAATCGCGAAGACGCTCGCCTCTTCCAGGCTCGGATCGCTTCGCTCACCTTATGCAAAGTGTCTCGATGATGTCGCGAGCCTTGATAAATCTATATTATTCTCAATGTTAAGGAATTCCACGCGTTTCTCGTTGGCGTTTCTTCGGAAAAATTTTTATGTCCCGTCGCGGCTGCCTATAAATTCCGACGGCCAGCTCTTCTCGATTTGTCGCAGCGCGACGTAATTTTAGTTGGCGATCTCCGAAGATCTTGATTAATAATCCGCAGGTCGTCCACGACTTCGTGCTTGTTTTTGCCACGGCTTTAAACGTTCAATGTGATTGTGCGAATTCTTAATCGACGAGAGGTACCGGAGAAAATTGAGAGGCAGAAATAAAATCATGAATTGCGTGGAATCCACTTTTAGTGTCCTAGACTTTATGAGTTACTAATTGACTTCCTTTTAAACAATAAACTTTTCAACTATCAATTTAAACGAGAAACAGTCGTTAAGAAATTTCCCGTTTAACGTTAAAATTTTCCAACGCACTGCTTCATATTATTCTTTTGTAACAATAAATTATTCAACAATAATATAATAACAGTATTATTCAACTTGACTGATTATAATTATTGCTTATCATTTCTTCACTGGCGAAGAAAAGATTATTACCTACTTATGTTTATTATTTCTTTCTGTAATTTATGTACAAAGAGCTAAATGGTATAATTGATATAAAGTACAATGTTTCTCTGTACACGGATTCTTTGCGGGAAAAAAATCTACATTTTCTGTCTCTCCAATAATGTCACTTGGGTTAACGAACTCGTTCTTGAAGAATCTTTGATTTCGCGCCTTGTAAAGGATTAAATGCAGGATGCGGGCGCGAACTTTTCGAGCGTAGCGCGAACAGTTCAGTATCCTGTCTGGATATGGGAGGAAACACAGCGTGTAACGCCGTGTATCTATAGTGCGGTTCAAGGTCGGACGGTGTACGTTGAAGACGATAGCCGTAAGATACGCGCGTAGGTGCATTAACCCTTCGAAGTGCCCGCCGCCACGCGATGCGGCGTTCCATAAAGAATAGTGTAACACTGGCGCTTGTTTGCGAGAAAACAAGCCGGAAAGAGAGAGAATTTCATTGCATTACATTCATGAGAAAAAGATCTTACGAATCGGCAATTTTCTGCAACGAAGAAGGCTGTACTGTTACAAATGCTTGCAATCTGAATGAACAAGTTCACAGGCGCCTAAGTTTTTAGCATGCGGGCTAAGCGCATCCGCGCTTGTTCAATTCGACTCGAGTACGCGAGTGTATTTATGTAAATCTGGAACCGGATGAAGTTTCCTTTGAGGAACCGGGTTTTCGGACTAATCGTCCCGCTTCTCGGACACCAGGCCCATTTGGCCCGGTGCCTCGACGTAATCCGGCGCGAGAGATGATTCTCCTGGTACCGTGAGCGAACTAATAATACCGTTACGTGACTATTAGTGGGCCAAGAAAATTCGGGACATAAATGAGCGGCGTGTTTAATTCCTAGCTCGACTGCGCGTGATTCAGCTTTCGTTCCGACCTGCAAATAATATTTAAAGTACCGGTGGAATTAAGAACGAGAATTGTTTACGTCGCTGCGACACAATTTCCACGTCTCTCTCTTATCTCCGTGAAGGAGATTCCTCCCCCAAAATGAGTCTCCAATTCGCGCGAAACACAGCAAATCGCCCTTAAGAACGTTCCCGCAAGTCCCAAACGCTCCGCCGCGACGTCTGACGTAAAACGGGTCCGCAAGGGCGTTGCAAAGAGAATTCCGGTTTTGTATCTTCTTGTGCAAAACCGGGTGTGGAGCTATTAAATTCCGATATTAAACGATTCTCTCCTCCCGCGCGGAGAGGCGCGCGCGAGCGAGCTCTTGCTAAAAGAGAGAATATCCATTACTCACCCATAGTTGCTTGTATTTCCCTCTACGAACGAGCAGTCTGGGCCATGGTGCCGAGGAGGAAGTCCGGCCGCACCTCGCTGGGAATTCACCTGACTGCCGCGAGGCTCGAGCGCGAACGGGCGAGCGAGCGTTCCCTTCGACCCTTCGCGAGGGACCGTGGGCGTGATCGGAATGCACGGAACGCGGTCGCGATCGTCTTACGAGTCGATCATATCCCGTGCAGGGGGGGGTGGGGACGCGAGCGAGGAGGAGGAAGAGGAGGAGGAAACGGAAGTCCGATTTTGCACTTGGGAGTCGCGGACGCGGGACGTGGAAGACTGGCTCCTCTTGACCGTTAGCTCGACCGTCGCATCGCGGTCTTAAAGTCGACTGCAAGAACCAAGCGGTACGGGGCCGCGTCCGTCCTCGGCCCCCGTAGAAATCCCGTCTCGTGCCGGCACCGCCGGTGCGGCCGGTGCGCGGTGGTAGGGCGGCCGGAGTCTTCGGCGGTAGGCTTTCCCGTAGGCCGGCTGTAGGATACACACCAGCGTCTTGACGAGGTTTACCGCCGGCGGAAAAATCTCGTCGAGGGCGGAGTTGACCCTTGGACGGCGGTCCTGCCGTGTCCAGGTCCGGTACCGGGTATCCTTCGCTCCCCGACGACGTTTAAATCATTCTGTTATGTCCATGCCGAAGAATATATTCTGTAAAATGATAGTGCAACATGAGTAATTTGCAGTACGTGTACATTCTGTATCCATTATAAAAAAGCATGTACGAGGATATAATGAGAGAAAGGGAACGTTTGCGTCTTGACCTTTGGAAACTATCGTAATTGATTATTCTTCCATTTCAGTTATAATTGTGAATAAATTGAAGCTACCAGCGAGACACCAACTCATTGTCTCATTGGCAGCTTCAATTTATGTCCCAGGAAAATATAATTCTAAGCTTCATTGTGCTTATTTCATATCTTGTTGCGATTGTATTTGATAAGTGGACGAAAGAAGAAAGGATTAGAGAAATTAACGTGTTAAACAGATACTTGAATAATTTTCAAATTCTTTTCTTTCCCCTTTCGTAGAACGATATTTAAATCCTTCGAAGCAAGGAACACTTGAGATTTTTCACTGTCGCGATACACGAGTGTCAAATTGTTTAAATCCAACCGAGCGTGTAAGTGCCAGCTCCCCTGCGTTTTCTTTTAGGCAATAAAACGAAAGGGGACGAGCACTCTTCTCTTGTCGCTCACCTGTTGCTTCCTCCCGGCTATCGTGTCGTCAAGCCAGCTATACGCGACAAGATTTTGTAAGCACATTGCGTACGTTCCAATGGCCGATGCAATTGTGTCTTCAGCTCCGCTGCTTCTTCTCGAAAATTTATTTTCGTATCGGCTACGTCCCGGCATCTAACAAACAACGTATTGTATAACAGGCCTTAAAGAAACAATTATTGTCCGCAATGAAGGTTGTTATCGCAATGAAGAAGTAATTTCAAGTTAGCTACCCGAGTTGAAATTTGGGCCCTATATGTTGAACCTTTAATTCTATTATGTAGTAGGACCAAAGACAGTAAAAGAGGTCGAACTGCAAGTACAAAATTTAAAATAGTGTCGGAAATTTCTACTTTTGCCAATTTAGCATTAAAGTAGGTCCTTTTAAGTAGGAGCTAAAGTCAATTTTTATAATTAAAGATTCATGGGAGGAGTAAAAAATATAATGTCATCAAAGTAGGTTATTGCTGATCTATGCAGGTGCACAGATCAGCTAACAAGTTAGTATACATTTTACTAGTAAAATGTATGGTAAAATTCGAGAAAACCCTCATAAAGTTGTTCAAAATGCCGTGTTATCCTACGACTGCACGATTTTCAGGGTAAATTTTAAGAGAAAAGTTCTCTCCGTGTGGCTGAGTTAACCCGGTTAAACGTTTATTATTGGTCTTAGGACACGTGGGTAAACGACTTGTCGATTGCAGAAATACGGAATACGCGGAATACCGTTACGCGTGTGCATGTTAAAATGCTGAAATTATACTTGCGGGAGGCAAGTGATTGCTAAATCGACAACCGGCACCACAAATCTGCCCGTTTAACTTGAGCGTCCGACATTTCTCCGTCACGCGACCGCGGCGGTCCTTTGCCCTGCATCTGTAGATCATGCGTTCCCCGAGATCGAGAAATTTACGTGTAAAACAGTCTCGTGTACACCGAGCTTATAATTATAGTCTTCGTGCCGATAGAGCCGTTTAGAAAGTTCATCTCGCTGGAAAATGCAGACGCGTGGGATCTCGCGATAGACTCCAAAATGAAAGACAATGAAATGAAAGACTCTCTCTCTCTCAGAAGACAGTCTCGTTATTTCACGATGTGTACAATCGGTTTCCATATCTCATTTCAGCGTCGGGCCCGGCTTTCCAGATTCCGTTCGCACGTGCTTGCTGCATCAAAAGTTACAGGTAATGCGCGAATTGCCAAATATTTTATGTAACTCTTTATGTAACTTACGCTTGTGTACTTCCTTCGTGGGTAAAAATCCCATTGGCTTTGTTTTGTGCGTGCAGATGATGAACTGCTGTATAACGAGGAAGAAGGCGAGGGAGGAGAACGCGCACAGGCCTCAAAGCACAGAGATGGACGATGTTGAGGAGACAGGTAGCGTTCGTGATTTATGTGATTTAATTACGCTTTACACAACGCGCTCGGCGGGAAAATTAAAACCATTCCGGCTGTCACAGAGTCCGAGGATGAGGAATTCTTTGAGTGCACGAGCGAGGAGCTGGCGAGCGAGGAGGTTTCGTCAACGAAGCCGCAATTGAAGGCGAAGCACCTGCTGTGGAACAAACCCGCGGGAAGATTGGCTAAACATCCTTCGCTCAGGTTGATTTTTCTTCACGAGTGGCTGCCGCAATTGGTCGAGTTTCGCGTCGATCGCTTGAAATCTAAAAATAAACCTGCGATATTAACAAAGAGGCATTTTTTTTCTATTTATACAAGTGAAAACATTTCAACTTTATGAGCTGAAGACAGAAAAAACTATTACATTATAGTATCTTAAAATATATGAGATTTTTCTATTGGCTAATATAGAAAAGCTATTGCTAGCCGGCTGCTAGTAAAATACATGTCGCGCAAACTATATCCAATAGTCGCTAGCATTCTCGTCTTTTTAGCTGAATAACAAATATTTCTGTTGGCGGGGTAAGACTGAAAAGTGCACGATTTGTGACTCAACGAGATGGGAATTGATGATGCGTAGGCTGATTCAAACCGGAGACCCTCTTTATCTACCAATCACGCAGGATCCCGTGCCGAAGACGGAGGACCAGCTGGAGGAGGACGCGCAGGTGATGATGCAGCTCGGTACCGACAAGTACGCATCCGAGATGCGGGCTCGAATGATGAGCGCGTCCCTGTTGTCCGACATGGAGTCCTTCAAGGTACGCATAATGCATTGAGCTTATACCTGGTAACAGCTTTTACCGCATATACGTATCTATTTCATTATAATAACATAACGCAGGCGGCAAATCCTGGCGCGGTGCTGGAGGACTTCATCCGATGGTATTCCCCGAGGGACTGGATCGACGACGAAGGTGCTGACGAATGGGGACAAGGAAAGGGTCAGTAGTTTTTCTTGTAACATACACGTGCAAAATTACGAAGAATATTTCAAATTTGAAACTTCGATATTGCTGCTCACTTCCCATTACGCAATTAATTTATCTCGCCTGTTCTGGTCAAGTAATTGAAGACTTTGACTTATATTATAAGAAATATTATAACTCTCTGTCTCTCTCACTGTCTATAATATCTCAGAAAGTTATTTCTCATTGAGACAGAGTCTACGTCAAGATCGATAGCGATGCGGAAAATTGTACATGCTTTATTTTTAAGAACATTTACAAGCTAAACCGAAGACAGGCTGAAATGCCCTCTTAATGACAGATTTTTTTTGTTCAATATTTGATTCAACAAAGTCGACTTTTTCTCAGCAAAACTGTCGAGGGACGTCAATCTGCAATTGAAATAGAAATATAATTTTTTATTTCCAGCGTTTGTGCAATGTTTCTTTATATCGAGTCTTGAAACGCACAGGTCACTTGTCGCCGCGGATGATGATTCCTGATAATCCGTGGTCAACGACATGGGCATCGGCGCAACCAGTTCCCGCACACCGGCAGAAACGACTGTTCGATGACACGCGGGAGGCGGAGAAGGCTCTGCATTACCTGTGCTCAAAGCGAATAGGCCAAGTCGCGCAGCTCCTGCTGCCGACTCTGACGCACGCCGCGCTCTATACTCTGAGCTCGCAGAAACAGGAAGCTCTGCCGAGCCTGCTCGATGTGGCACAGAGCATACTCAATAAATTGCAATACGCGACGAAACCAATTCATCAAAAGCTACAACTGTACGAGGTACACACTCGACCATATCTTCAATCATAATCAATTGTTGAGCCTATTTCGATTGTGACTGATCACTGTTTAAATATTTACATACGGCATGTTAGTGCACGCATATAAATATATTTGAAGTAAAAAGTACATAGAACGTATAAGAATTTTTAGAGATATTTTAACTTTCAATTTCCTCAGGAAATCACGCGCGACGTCGAAAGCGTGGAAGCGCTAGTCGCGCAAGTCAATTCGTTGCACCACAAGCTGGGCGGTAACAACGACTCCAAAGAATTTACGTCCTTTTTGATTCAATTGATGCGGGGGAAGGAGGTGAGTGTGCCCGGCGGTTCCAGAGGAGACATCGGAGCTCGAATAACGACGATGTTCCGCGACGCTCAAAAGGTAGAGATTGGTTTTTACGCATCATTGCATCACATGCGAGAGAGTTTACTATTCAGACGTAAATATTGCGGCTTTGTTTCAGGCCGCTCATATGATGACGTCCGTCAGTAACGCCAATAGAAATACTACGAGTGTAGGAGATAGTCGTTACAAAACGTTTCCCGAGCCATCGTGTAAAGAATTCATTTTGCGGGCGATAATGCCGCGGCCTTCGCCAGCTTCCACGCCGCAGCCGCAACGGCTGTACGTCTGCCTTAAACGAGATCACATCCGTTTAGCCGGATTCTTTTCCGAGGATACGACGTTCCTATAATGTCAATCAATCGAACGGCGCCATAGGGTTTAAGTAATTTTTGCAAAACAAAACAAAAATTATGCGCGTCCTTACATTCGCCGTGATGGTGATTGTGGATTTATGCATCGTATTTCGTTCGCTTCGTTCTTTTTACCGCGAACGATCATCCGTAGTTAATTTTCCCAACAAATCGGGTATCTTTCGATTTCGCGTTCGTTTTAAGGACGACAGTAAGTACAAGATAGTCGTGACATGCATTATTCTTCAATAATGCGGATTTATTCGTTCGCCTTATTGCATGTATCTTGGATACCTAAGACGTCTTTTGTAGAAAATATTTATTAGGATTCGATTGTTATCTTTTTATTATTTTAATGAGTGCAACAGCGATCATAAGATCAAATGTGCGTCTTATTGCGTATCACCGAATGGACATCGAATCCAACTGGTCCGATATCTTCTTGCCGGATGTGGGAAGTCCCGTGAGCAGATAGTCGCGCATGATGCGATCGACCTCTTCCAGAGTTAACTGAACGTGAAGCTGCAGCACGGGATCTTTGTCGTCGCGCAAATTGCGCAACTCGCGGTACAGGTCGACCATGTCGCTGGTGCAGCTGCTCAACAGGTCTCGGTCGAGGCCGCGGAACAGAAGCGTCGCAACCATCACGGCGGCACGCCGACACTCGGGCACTTTGTCCGATTTTAATATACACGTGATGCAGTAGAGGATCTGAATGTTTAAAGGATCAAGTTTAAAGGAAGGTCTCTTCGATACCTCGTTCTGCGCGAGTCCCTTATATACGTACTTCGGTGAGAATGTTTCCCAGACGGTAGTTCAATACCTTGCAGAGTTCGCCCAAGCAAGAGAGACCGGAGGCTCGTACCAAGGGATCTGTGTCGCGGATTGCGCACAAAAAACCGTTAACCAGCGTGTTTTTTTGAGCCACACTCATTTCACCTGCAAAATTCGAATATTACTGTTATTACCACTCCCTGATTTTTATTTAAAGCTTCGTGATCTTATGAGTCGCTAGTCGCACCTCGATACATCCGGCACTTTGAATAACGTTAACTTATTAACAATCTATTTTTGTTACCGCGTACAATTTAGAAGATTATGTTCTGTATAGAATAAAATTAATTAAAATAGTAAGGGATTTATAGGAAATTTTAGCTGTACATATGAGAACAATAAAAAAAGGGGGGTTTCTATGTACCCAGGGCTCGTGTTGTCTTGACTAGTATTTCCCCGAGCTTTATCCTAGTTTCAACGGTTATTTCCGAAACCGCGATGCGTTCGGGCATATCGATGTATTCAAGCATTAGCGTTTCTACGACTTTTGCTGGGAATGCAGTCGCCAATGCGCACAACCCGTTGATAGACGCCAGATATACGAACGAATCGTCGTCCTTCAAGTTCTCCTGCAATCAAACACACAAGTGAGACGAGCCCGCGGAACGTGCGGTAAGTGAGCGAGCGAGCGAGATATTAGCAACCTGAAATAGGCGCAAAACGATCGCATTGCGCGCAACAGTGTAAGGATCCTTAGTCTCGATCAGTCTCGTGAGTGTCACGAGACCGTGCGCCCGAACGGGAAGTAATGGGTCCGCGAGATCCCTCAAGGCTTCGTCAAACTTATTCGACGAGCTGGACAAGTCTTGATAGTATTTCTTCTCGGATCTTGCCTGGGAACCATGCGTCGCGATACAGTCCACCACCTCGCTGATTATTGATTTAAGTTGTGTCGGCATATTCGAGCTTTTCACGCGATCTTCTAGAAACCTTTGAAAATCCTTGAAGAGATCGATCTTGACCGCCGCACTCTTCTCGACCAGGGTCATTTTTATCAACATCAAACTGATGTACAGCACATCGCATTCGTTCTCTTCGGTCTCGTCCAGACGGCTATTTGTATACTCGTCGAACAACGATTTTATAAACGACAGCAGTGGCTCGGGATTCGTCACTTGCGCGTTTTGTACGGTACTTGTGCTGGTTAATTGCGACAGCAGTTTATGAGCCGCTAATTGCACCGCGATGCGTTCTATTTTATCGTCTTCTGTCTCCAGCGTTTCCGGTTGTTCAGTGTCGCAGCTCTGTTTACTTAGATTTGACAGAAACTTCAACATGTAACAAAATAAGCTTGGAGACAAGTCCTTAGCGGTGGACACTAGGTCGAAAATGGTATCGGCTAGCCTTTCGTAGTCCAAATTTTTACTCAAACCAGTAATCTTGATGCCGCTGGTCGGCCCAAAGTCCGACGTCACATAATATCCAAATTCTGCTGACGTATCGTGTCCTAGAAAAGCCGAATACAGCTTTTCCCGCGTTGTCTCTTCCTCCAAGATTTCCAATAACAATCGTCGTAAATTTATCTTCAATGCGCAAGCACTTTCGCGGACTTTGTCGTACAGGCAAAACAGAGGCGTAGCAACGTGCACGATAACTTTGCACGGTAGACGCTTGAAGTTGGCGTCTTCTGTTAAAAAACATTTCGCTAATATTTCTATACACCGCCCTACTTCTTTTTCAGATTGTGCAACGTGCATTTTCTTCATTGTCAGAGGTGCGCACACGACTTCTATAATATACTTATGACAAGCATGTGGATTGTAGTCGTACAGAGATTTAATACAGCAGTTTGCTACTGTCGAGCCATGCTTGAACTTATCCGAGGAGAACAGATCTAAGATCTAGAACAAGCAAAAAAAGAGAAATTGATTGGAACTCTTTCTTTTTGTATCTTCCTCTACTTATAATACAATGCATTTTATACATCGCTCCTCTATGTAATTTCTACCTGCGGACACACGGCTTCGTAATATTCGTCGACGTTCTTTCCATGCACCGCTGCTATCAGCCGGGAAATCGTGTCGAATTTCCTCCAATCCGCACCCAAGTCTAAACCGTCGTTGTAAATTGCGGCGATCAACGACGACACTCCGTCCGGTTGCACAAGCATTTTAATTAGATAGTTCTGAGCCTCTCTACTCAGCCACCTCGGTGCGTTCTGCACTCCACGAATCACCATTAACTCCCGAAAGAATATGTTACGCGGGCAATCATTTAACAGCGAGAGGAATTTAGCGTGAAATGCCCTTTGACGATTCTGCAGCCTCTGATACTCTCCCATTGTCATGCGAAATTCCTGATTATTCATGTCCGTGGACTGTACCGCGTTCGACGGTCTCGCCAGCGGAGCGTGAGACAGTTGCAGCAGAGCGGCCATCAGAGGGCCGACCTGCAGGAGTACGAGTGGTCGCAAATTGAGATCGTCGAAAAGATCTAGGAGCAAGTGCGCCGAGAAACACAATCGTTCGTATTTCTGAAACACAAAGGCCGTAATGAGGAAAGCCAATTCTTCCAGTTTAATTGGTAAATAAATTACACGACGCCTCACCTCCAGACAGCTCAAGCCTTTTTCTTCAGCAATTGTTGAAGCTGCGGGGCAACATTTATCTAGATCTATACCCACGCCAGGTAGCAGGGAGGGCTTAATTCCGATTGATATTACGAATTCCACGGCAAGTTTTACAGAATGACGTTGGTTCAGATTCAGAGGCGCATCGGAGTCTACCTTTGCGTTCTCTCGTTTAACGCCACGCAACATGTATGATAACACGTGGAGGTATTGTTTTCTATGAATACGAAGAGATACAACGCCTGAATTAATATCTCTAGTTTATATACAATTTGTATAGTACTTGAACGTCGAATTTTACCTCGTAGAAAGATCTTGGATAGATCGTCTTACATCTTCTGACAGAAGCGGCTTTACCTCCTCAATTATTTGCGCCACTTTAGCGTCAAAATTGGTACCCTCGTCTGCAAGTGGATAAATTGGATTTAACTAAAAACTGCGCTACTCTGTTTTAATCGCAGAATACAAATTTGACTTACTAGCAGTAAAACGTCTTTAAGGTCTTACCAGTAACGTTGGATATCAATGTGGACAAGGCTTCGTGATAATCCATTTTTCTTTATCTTTTTTAACTAACAGTCTCGAAACACCATTTTCAAGGAACACGTTTTGTTTCAAAATGAATTTCCAACCTGTGGAACTATTGCACGCCTTTACGCCCAGACCGTCCACAGACCAGTTGTTGTTGGTCTGGTTTGGTTGTTGGCTCCCGATCCAGCGTCCACAGACCAGAGAGAAACCTGAGACTGAGAGCGGCCACCGAAAGTCTACTCTAGTAGCTCAAAAACAGATGCGCTCCCTAACAAAGTGGATGTCAACTACGTCCGTTCAGTCGGTAACGGTACGCAAGCTATAGTTCATGTCCAAATGTCTCAAATGGATATGGGATAAACAAGTGAATCAATTAATCGTTCTGACTTTGTCTTATTTAGAACAATAGATTGATTCTTTAAAGATCTAATAGCGTTTTCGATTTTCTGACTCGACCCGACCCCGAGTCAGAAAAGTTCGATCAAAAGCCAGATTTGAACCACAATTTCTGCAAAAATCTTACTTTTGATCAAACTTTTCTGACTCGGAGTCGGGTCGAGTCAGCAAATCGAAAACGCTATGAGTCTACGATGCTAAAACTTGGTCCAATTCCCCGCGTCCGTAAAGCCCGTATCAGACTACGGATTGAGATTGAAATTAGATTGAAATTTGACCAATTAGAGTCGAAGTTACTAAACTTGAGATTAGTACACTTTACCGTGATTAGGTTCATACAGTATATACATATCTCATTATTATTAACTCATGTTATTTCATGCTATCTTATTATTATTAACAATTATTCTTTATAAATATACAAATTGTATCATGTATAATAAATTATATGTATAGCACATAATTTTTCCCCTTGTCTCTAATTAGCCTGATCTCTCTTTAAAACATCCGTTATCATATCTTGACTGAGAGTCCACAATCGCGCGGCTATTGCAGGATCTAGCGCGGCGTTCGACGGTTGACAACGACAACAATTGTTGAAGTAGCTACCCGTGACACCCTCCAACTCTGGTGCGGTAGCACAAAATACTGTCGTGCTCGCTGCTTGTTGCTGAAACGCGTTATTTAATTCATTAGCCCGCCTGCTCTTCGCGATTACAATACAAGCGCAAATCAGAAACGCATGATACAACAATAGAAAAGAATGAAATGTTGAAAAGTGCAATTCTGAACATGATTATACTAGAGGCCTGAAAGCTGACTTTTGACTTCTTGTAAATATAGAGGAAAGTCTCTTATTATATATAGATAGGCTCCCAATATGAGATAGTGGGGAGTTTCTGTTAAATTAATAGGCGTAATCTGTTGATTCTACCGTAAATTTATTGCCCTTGGAGTGAAATCTGTTTGGTGGAAAATTCATTGTTAGATTGTGTAATCGTTGCGAAAGAAGATCTGTCGTTGAATTTGGGTGTCGAAAACCTGCTATCTCATATTAGAAACTTATCTCATAATAGACGATTTTCCTCTAAATTCGTTAGGATGTGAAACAATCAGAAGGTAAATCTAGCCGGACCAATCTTTTTTTCTCGTTATTTCCAAGTTTACTCTTCCAAATTCAAATCTATAGCATAAATTACGAGACTTGTGTCGTACCAATGATTTCGTGAACGGCCGTACTAGAGCGAACAGCAATCGGAAGAGCCACCAATGACGCGATAGGGACGTAGACACCATGTTACCGGGATGACAAGAAAACACGCTCACGGTGGGCCATTGCCGTGCCAATTCCTGCGCGAACAGAATATTACAGAGCTTCGATTCGTTGTACGCTCCCATCGCCCAGTATTTGTACGCCGGCGGAGACAGAGTTAACTGGTGAACGTCTTCCGCGGTTCGTACCGTTGAAAATCTGCATCAGCGATGTATCTGGTTGTAAAAATTATCTACTTAATTAACACTACATGTAGAATGTAATCGAGAACATCTGACCGGTGCGATTCGCTGGAGACCACTACGACCCTGGGATTGTTGGAGCTCTGTATAATCTCTTTCAAGAGAAGCGTCAGGTAAAAGTGCGACAGATGATTAACTTGAAACGTCGTCTCGTAACCGTCCTGCGTGAGTTGATGTGGTAGACCAAACACGCCGGCGTTTAATATAAGAATATGCAGAGACCTGAAAGATTAGGGAATCCAATGTAACAAAGTACATAACAGAATAATTACGTGCAACAGATTTAAGCCAACGGCACACGATACCATTTTTCCTACTAGATTGCTTATGAGAACCAACAAGGGTGCGTTTGGCAGCTCACTATCAGCGCTACTTAGCACTGAAAGCGTCATTCTTTCTTTGTTGCTCATTATGCGTCGAAGAAAGACAGAACGACACTTTCAAACAATAAGTAACGCCGATAGGGAACTCTCGAAAGCAACCCATGCAGAGTTTCAGATCAAGTGACTTAAGGCTAAATCCTGATTGGTTCTCGTAGGCAATCCAGCAGGAAAAATAGTATCGTGTGCCGTTGGCTATACTTGAATTTCTGCTTCAACTCCTCGACAGCCTCACGCACGCTGCTCAGTGACGACAGGTCCATTTTCAAGGCAACGCAGCTCGCAGTCTCCTTCTCCTGTTGAATACGTCTTATAGCTTCGTTAGCCTTTTCTACATCCCGACAAGCTAATACTACATCGCAGCCGTGTAAAGCCAACGATCTGGCCGTTTCATATCCTGCATATCCAACATTTTGTTTAATAAATTAAATTGTGAGAACTAGGTAAAAATTGCAATTATTGTTGCAACCGTTTGACTGTTCTCGCTTACCGATGCCCGCATTACCTCCCGTAACGAGGGCGACTTTGTTGCGCAGATCCCGGCCGTGCAACACCGCCAGGGCGGTGCTACTCGCGTCGAATCTCTGTCGCAATACCTGAGACATCTCCTTGTATTCGGTGGCGAATGCTAATCGTGGATCGGTGTAGGTTGTCGTGCGATTCGTGTGGTCTATGTACAGAACTTTCCCGTCGTCCGAGACACACTTCTCCCATCCAGGTGGTAAATCTGTTTGGTTTGCCAATTAAAAACCTCTGCTTCAGCCCTTTGGATAATCTTCAACACTCTCGGAAGTGCGAAAGGTGAAGGTTTGCCTCCCGCGCTTCTTACTGCCGAGACGTAGACGGCTCTGTAGAGAAATCGAACACGTACCTCCGTTGACGATCTTCTTCCGGCCGGTCCTGGGATGCGTCCACTGCGTGCCCTTCGTGTAGTGGCTGCAACCCGGTAATCTCGTGTTATAATCGCGATCTTACGTCAGCGCCGCGCGACAATGCGCGAGGGACGGTGCTCGATCCCGAGAGATCAAAGATCGTCCCGCGCATAAACACATGTGTCATCCCGATTACTTGACGTAATAGACGTTCCCGTCTAATGTCGTCCTCTCCTCCCATCCCGGCGGCAGCTCGTCCTCGCTATCGGAGTCGTTCAAAACAGCCACCATCTTTGGACCGCCGAATGTCCCCCCCCGTCGCTCTCGGTTCGGAACGTGGACGTCGGTGTCGCCGCGCGCGCGCGCAAGGTAGGTTTTTGAGGTTAGAAAGCTCGCGGACGCCTCGGCAACGGTGTGTATACTTATTTAATGCGAACTTCTGACCGAAGAGTCTTGACTGACGACGTATCGCCGACAACGGCATGGCTGGGAAGCAGGGAAGGGACCTGGCGCTGTCCATGTTGAAAGCGTTACCTAGACTGTCACTGGCGAACATCCGAGATAATCCCGGCTCGAGGACACCGACCGTAAGGATACAGCCGGGCAGCAACAGCAGTAACACATTTTTCAGCCTGCGAAAGCTGATCCGCGCGAATTCGTGCAATTGTCAATTCGGCGCGACACCGCGATGGCAGCCGTAATTAGTTTTCTGCGACCTGTTTCATTGTAATAGCTACAATGCCTGCCCAGCGAGAAGCGGACCGGTGTCGAAACGACGTCGAGCGACGAATCATTTCTCACTGGGTATTAGCGCAACCGTAAGGCCCGGTCTGCAATGAGTCGCTTAGTCGTTAGAAGTCGGAACTGTGTGTCGGGCCTTTTTCTTTCAGCCGGAAAGAAAAAGGAGCAGCGTGCAGCTCCGACTGCTGACTGACAACTCGTCAGCTGCGTCCGGCACGTGACCTTCGAATGACAATCCAAGGCCAAGTCAATGGCACCACCTTATGTCCCCCTTCGAACCAAACAACTTCTGTTTGAAACGTTTTTCCGTATCTCTCATAGTTTTGGAGATATTTGCGTGGATCATTTAAAACGAGACAACCCGTATAGTTGTGTGATAGAAACAATTGTACTTTGTGAACGACGAAATGAGAGTGTCAAGTTACGGTACACACGTAGATACTTTTAACACGACGCCAAGACGCGCTACTTCAATTTAATTCCTCTTCTAGAAACGTGGCAGGGGTCAACACGGTGGTGACAAGCACGGCGCTGGAAACAAGGGCTCCGGCCAGAGGCAGAATTACATGCGCATAGGCTACGAGACTGGGAACAACCCGTTTTATCTGAGATTCAGCAAGGAGCCTTACTACAAGGGACACCAGTGAGTCTGATAGATTTGTGAGCAACTGTGTACGTACGTTGGATTGCTGAGGCGGGAAATGATGTGTGTTTCAGCCTGAGGCGAGAGTATCCGCCGCTCTCTTTACAAAAGCTGCAGATGTTCATCGACACAAATCGGCTGGACATCGGTAGACCAATCGATCTTGTATCATTGATAAACACTGGCCTGTACCATATGAATGTCAACTGGAAACATGCCGGAGTTCATTTAACAGATGAGGTAATGTCTTGCGATTTTACAATTTAGGTCCTTTAGCCTATGGCGAATACGATTGCATGTTAGGACATTGTTCGCAGTCGATTCTTATATATCAAGTTATCTTAAATACATGTTCCAGAACTATCCAGCAAACAAATGATCCGCACAAATGTATAGATTATTTCACTAGCTAGGAAGTATTTCAAGAGATATTTAAGATAATCCTCAAATGTAAGAAATTACTAAACAAGCCTTAGCGCGCGTTCAGTTGCACACTAGTGCAAGCAATCGAATTCGCTGTTAGATTTCCAGAGCACGCCGTGGAAGCTTTCAATTGTAACAAGTTGTACATACATTCTGAAAGTGTAACAGGGGGCATTTTGTTTCAAGGGGGCACATCGCTTTAACGCCAAGGTGAACATAGAGGTGCAGTGGGCCAGCGAGCCCGTAATCGCTGCGATTGAAAGAAACGGCGGTGTGATTACGACCGCCTACTACGACATACACTGTCTTCACGCCATGGTCGATACGGAACAGTTCTTCGGAAAAGGTGGTTTTACAGAAATACTTGTCGTTTCTGGAAAATACAGTACCGCGCCAAATTATTATGGACACCTCGCAAAGTTGGTGTTTTCTTAGTTTCGAAGCACTGAAACGAATTACCCTACTTCTCTACGAAGTATATTTAACGAATTAACGAACTAAAAAGGTAGATCAACATATTTCTTTCAACTGCCTGCCTACAAATAGTTCAAAACTAAGAAAATATCATCTTTGCGAAGTGTCCGCAATAATTTACATGGTAAGAGTACGGTGCGTTAATTCGGTTCGGGTAACAATTAGGGATGGACAAAAATTACTTGCTTTTTTAAACAGATGCTTCTTTACAGTACGACTCGAAGCGAATTAATGCACCGCACTGTACTCCCTAAAAATCAATCGTTGGATTATCGCTGAAAGCAGTGAATAGTCACTGATTGACTTTTAGAAAGTACGGTGATTCTGCACATCGAGTGCCTTCAAAGATCCTTTATACGTCTTTTCAATGATGTGCAGGTGAACCGATACTGCGTAGACTTCCGCCGCCGACGGATTGCTTAGAATATTATTCTAGCGCCGCCACGAGGGGGTACTTGGCCGATCCCGAGAAGATCTCTCAAGAACGGTTGGTACTGGCGCAAAAGTACGGCTACGAATTACCGAAAATCGAGGACGATCCCGATTACGAGATGTTATGCGAGCGCAAGGATCCGCGGCAGATGTTCTACGGTCTGGAACCGGGCTGGGTGGTCAGCCTTAAGGACAAAGTCATACTGAAGCCGAAAGCCGAGTATCTGAAGGAGTTCTACGCGAGTTGAAGTGAGGCACGAGGAGAGATACATAGAACTGCGATGTGAATAAATTAGATTTAATAAATACTTGTGCGACAATCGTTTTGTTATTAAAATTGCGCGATCGAATCTGTATATAGAACGAATCTGCCTCTGTGTATGTTTCCTGTTAACTTCTAAATCTTTTCACTTAGCTGAATCTACATAAAGTTATTCTCTCTAGATCTCGTTAAAAAAATACAGCTACCCAGACATTCTACCCCTAATTTTATCCCTTTGATATTTTGTGACAATTTGATGCGTTTATTCTATTTTATGTATGTAGACGAGCTAAAATTTCAGCATGTTTCATTCCCGCAAAGGCTGATGTCCAGATATGAGAGACTCTGGCAGTGTCGTCGGTTGCTTGCACTAGTGCACATTGAGTGTAGACTAAGGCTTGTTTATAGGCAAACTTTTTATATCAACTCTTTCAAGAGGTATTTAAAATGATCCTTCGATATAAGAATTGACTGTAGACTTAGTGCGCACCGAGTGTGCACTAGTGCAAGCAACCGAATTCGTAAGGTAACGCGAGTAGCGCCTGCAGTTACAGTTCTTTTTTTTTTTAATTTCACGGGAATTTCGGAGCTGCCGTTCACTTGATGCTACACAACGCTTTGAAGCACTCCTTTCCCTTTCGTGCAACAAAGAAAGGAGAAAAACGTTACGAAGCATTTGCGGCATCGAGTAAGGACCGCAGCCTTGGCGTCTCGCGACGCGCGCCAGCAATTTCGAACGCGCGCCTCGGCGCTCGAGCGCGCTCGGTCGATCTATTCGGCGCTGGTCGGGAATCGAAGTCGAGACGATCGACTCCACCACACCCGCGCCGCCGCCGCCGCTCGCGCGCTCTCGCAATCGATATCCCCCTGGCCTGTCAAATGGATGATGATGGCAGCGACGACGGTTGATACGATGTTGCAGAGCGATGGCTTTCAGACGAAAAAGAAAGAGGACATCGAGAACAAGGACAACTTGTGGTACGTGCCGTAGGGTCCGCGCGACGTTGGCCGCGCGCGTCGGGACGCGCCGCGGGACGCCGCCTGGCCCCTTCGCCCTCGCGTGAGAAAGCGCGCCGATGCCTTCCGCTTCGCGTGACACATCCGCGCTGCGTGAGAACAAAAAATTACGCGCCCGTGCCTCACTCGACGTTGTATGCCTTGCAGGTCGTCCATCCTGGCGGAGGTGCAGAACAGCGGCAACAACAAGCTGCCGTCGAACAAGAACGTCCTCGTGTTAGGTAAATACACCGACGACGTCTCGGGGGGCCCCCCACGATCGCGCGCGTGCGGCACGCATATCAAGTAGCTGCTCGGCCGCTCGACGCGTGTGTCATCGGCGGGGAACGCGCCTTCGTCGCTGTATCCGCGTTGCTCGCTCGCGGGAGACAGATTCGTTCGCCCCGTCGCAATTGTATTTCGCGCGCGCACGGCATTTTGTCAGCGCGACAGGTTATATCGGCGAGACGCGTTCACCCGCTGTCCGGGCGCAGACGTGCACCCGGAGCGCCGACCCCCTTGACACATGTGCGTTTGTTTTTCTAGGTGACAATGAGAGCGGCAAGACTACGCTTATAGCCAAACTACAAGGTGTGGAGGACCCGAAGAAAGGCTCCGGGCTAGAATTTGCGTATATCGACGTGAGAGATGACTACAGAGACGGTTAGCGTGAAATTAAGATGGATATTCAGACTGTCGCTCGATCAGACTCGATCTCGACAAACGGCGTGACCGTCCATTTCCTTGCAGATCACACGAGACTGTCCGTATGGGTCCTGGACGGAGACCCGGGTCACGCGAATCTTCTGAGATTCGCTCTGAACAAAGAGAGGTTTCCGCATACGCTTGTTATATTAGTCGCTGCCATGACCACGCCGTGGGCCATTCTCGATCAGCTTCAATCGTGGGCGGCGCTGCTAGGCGATCATATTGACAAATTACCCTTAGATAATGATAGTAGGCAACGGTGCAGGCAGTTTAGTAAGTGGAGCTGTAATATGTAGTGCTATACCGTTGCGCGCGAATGTCACATTAATGCAACCATCAGAGCTTGGTAGCTTCAAGTTTTTTTAATCAAGGATATATAGATACACGGTAAATCTTCAATTTATTTAGTGAAGAGATACAGTTCCTTGAATTCCTTTGATTTTAGATACAATATACAAGACGCACTCATTATTTTTCCAGCGAAAGACAGATATAGATAGTATTTACGTCTATATATGTGTTGGTAGTTTTTAAAAGAAGATACCAAGCTCTGGCAACTATCGCTCGTCACTTTGATCGTTACTGCACTTCTCGCTCTCTTCATTTTTTGAATAAACTAAAGTATAAGATTCGTACAATGTGTGCGCTTGCTAACGGAAAGTAAAGGTTGAGCTGTTTGAGAGACACGACGTTGCTACGTACGATTTTATCTCGCCAGATATTAAGAAGTGGCAGGACTATACGGAACCGGGAGACGAACTGGATCCTGGGAGTCCCCTGCGACGTACCAGTCGCAATCTGGACGACGACACCGCCGAGGGCTTGCCCTTGCCGGAGGGAGTACTTACAACCAATCTGGGCCTGGACGTCGTCGTAGTCATAACGAAAACCGATTACATGTCCACTCTTGAAAAGGAGCAGGACTATAAGTGAGTATCGCGTGAAAAATTCATGGTAATGCAAACAAGCTGACGAACGTTAATCTCGGTTATTTCCCTCCTTTTGTTCACAGAGACGAGCACTTCGACTTCATGCAACAATGGATCAGACGGTTTTGCTTACAATACGGTGCGGGTCTCTTCTACACATCGGCGAAGGAGGATAAGAACTGTGATTTGCTTTATAAATATCTAACGCATAGGATTTATTCGTTACCGTTCAGAACACCGGCACTGGTCGTCGAAAAGGATGCAGTACTTATGTAAGAGCATCCAGTTGACGCGACTGGGAAACGTTTTCTCTTCTGCGTGCGCGCACACGTTAAAATCATTTGCATTGCGCATTTACTTTGCAGACCTGCTGGTTGGGATAACATGAAGAAGATTAGTATTTTGCACGAGAATTTGCAATCCATGAAGGCGACCGATTACTATCGCGATGTTATCGCACAGCCAGCAACGAATCGAAAAGTAGGCTATCGTACCGCTTCGTATTTACTGCTTTACGCCCATAATATATACAACTTTTTTCGACATGACGCAAGTGTACTAGCTGGATATTTTATCCGTTAATGTTATTGGTGTAGTGCGTTACTAGAGAAATGGAGGTTCAGGCGGAAGAGGAGCAGGCTTTTCTCGCGCGGCAGCAGGCAGCTCTGTCGGGCCTGAAAGACCCTACTCGTTCTCCGACGACTCGGAATCAGGCAAGCCCTGGACCAGTTATACAGGTTATACCATTTATACATGGAGCATGCTCTTCATGTTGCGTGTCGATTCGAAAGGCCACAGCATTGCCACTAATTTTCTCATCGCAATTGTAAAAAGTCGTGCGAGTGATTCATTAATCTCACCCTTCACGTCCAACACAGAACTATCGAGTCTGTGATAACCTGATGTACGTTTGTGCCAACTCTTTCATTTATTGTACAGTATACTTGTTGCATAACTGTTTCGTTCATTCGTACAGCCGACTCATTTATTTCATGGTAAAAGTTAAATGTATCTTTGTCCTTCGTGTATTACGAGCTTACGCCTTTTACAAAACCTGCTTAATGTATATAATGAATTCATTTCATAGAGTGATGATGTAGTTGCAGTACATTAACATAGAGACAATAGTGTCTTATCGTGCAAAGTCACTTGGTTTCACTTAACATACAGTGATTTAATCCTAAAGCTGATGAATCATGAAAAGAAATTCTCCCAAAAGTCCACTGTACATGTGTCGCTTAACACTCCACGTAATTTCAATTCCAGCCGTCATCTCGTGTGGTTATTGCAGTTAACATTTGAAAGCATGTTCTAATCTATGTGGTATGATCTGTCCATTACGAGTAGTAAACTCCTTTACTCAACAACGGACAGACACTAACGATTTTGCGAATAGGTCGCGTCGCCGAACAAAAAGCTGGATCCCAAGGGTACCGGCGGGACACCGTCCGGGGAAGGTGTCTTAGCTAATTTCTTCAATTCTCTTCTCTATAAGAAGACTGGAGTGCCGCCCGGCTCGCCGGGGACGCCGGGCAGCGTAGGAACAAGTCCCCTGAAACTTGGTATGTAATAATAACTTCTACTTATAATGAAAATATACCGAGAGAGACATTTCATACTTCAGACGGTACACCGGTGGACAAGGCAACGATGTGTAATGACGCGGCAGCGGAGTTAGATCGTCTTACTCGGACCAAGAAACTTTCTCCACCCAACCTGAACTCGTCGTCTGAATGTTAAAGATAGCGCGCTTTTTCTTCGCGATCCATTCGTACAATGAGGACGATAGTCGAAGCTTCGTTGCCATCAGACAGAATCCAAATGCAAATCTGAAATGTCTTGTAGTTCGCTCATAATAGCGGGAATTGTAACAACGGTAAGATGAGTCGCGAAGAGGTAAAATTTAGCTCTAATCAATAATCTCTAACTCGATCACACCGCGAAGGAGGTAAATTTAAATTAAAAAAAAAATATATATATAATCTGTCTCGCAACTCTCGACAGCCTCGAGTGTCGTAATCGACTAAATATCAGTAACGAAGCAGAGAACAATTAGAAAGCTATTAAATTAATGTAATTAAAATATTTAATATAATAATATTACCGAGATATATATGCTTACGCACATGTCCTAGTAAAGCTAGCCTGGTCATAGTAAATTATTTAGCAACGCCCGTGTACGTGGAAACGGAAGCGCGGTCCTTTTTTTTTTTTTAATCGTTCTATATATTTACATATGAGTGCACATGTTCTTTGTCTCTCCTTCGTAAACGAACTTACTCTTACGTTTCATACACTCGATCGTGGTTCTTTTACGAGATATATCTTTATGGTGGCTCGTCACCACATTCGGTCTAATTTTAGCAACGTAAGTGCCGTTAGCGCTGCGAAAGTGTTGTGCGAATGCGTGGGATAGTATTTTATACGAATTGTTCATAAAATAAATGGGAGAATCCTTTTAACGGAAGACGCAGTGCAGTCTTCAGATTTAGGGACAACTAATGGTACGAGGCTGGAATAGATGTCCAAATGGCGCGTGTAAATTCGATACTTCCTTTGTAGATTTCCGAGTATGGTTATACGACTCGAGAGAGCAGGTGAGCAGAGATATGTACATTCAGTTATCAACATAAATGTGGCTCTATGTATATGAAATTCAAATTCTCGATGAAAATAAATAATTTTTCGTATATCTCGTCTCTTACGCTTATTGTCGGTTCAAGCAATAATTTTCCATACAACTTAATTACAATTCCATTCGGCGACGTTTAATAAAGGAATTCGTATGGCGAGTCTGTATATACAAAATTCCTTTATTTTATTGTACTTAGATAAAATACATTGAAGCAATCAATAATGTAATAATATAGTCTTTCCCCTATGACATCCTCTGTGACACGTATCGCAGCTCACAAACTGTCATATTTTTATTTATATTATTTATAATATCGTGTAATTTGCATTATTTACTGATGATCAATGATTATGAAGTGAAAACTCAACAAAGACAGTAATAAAATAGAAATACTGTCAAAATAGGAATGGCTTTCAAATATAAATCCTTCTATATTTATTACTTCGTATTTTTTGTCTAAGATTACATGTTATCAATTGTCATGATATAATGCTAATATAAATAATTTTCGAAATTGAGCTAATTGTAAGTATTTCAACACAAACTGAGAATCAAATAAAATAAAACTTTCGCTCATTCATGTTCGAAAAAAATTTATAAGAGAAAAAATGCTGTTACATGAAATGCAACAAAACTGACATAAAAAGGAAAAGAGCACAATTACTTTTATAGACATGGTATACTATAGGATCATCAGTGACAAATCTACATTTTTCAAAGCTGAAGCTAATATTTTTTAAAAAGATCTTTTTTATAAATACAAAATTAGATATGTTTCATATACGTATATGTATATGTCTTATTTATTACTATCAAAATTGATATAAACAACTTATATTAAAAATCATTTATCTATGAAATTTTATAACTTCAAAAATATGATCCATATAATATGTAAAAAAATTAATATAATACATTCAATAAAATAATATACAAATTTTTAAGTTGAGAAAAGAAATTGAATATAGCTTCATTACCTTGCCGATGTAGACCAGCCATTGTACTGTACCGAAAATATTTTTTTAACAATTTCTGTAACATTATATATATTGGCAGCTTATAATAGTTAATCAACAACGATAAATCATCTTGTGATAAATTTTAATACTTGGAAAAAAAACAAACAATTCAAATGCGATCCTTTTTACTTATTCCCAATTTTGGCAATCTATGTGTGTATGTATGGAAATCATTCAAGCTCGAGAGAGATATAAAATCATTATTCCTATTGATAATAGATAATCGGAAGAACCTTTTAATGTCTACTGAGCATTTTCTGAATCTTTTATCATGCAGAAAGGCGACAGTATTTGTATATGGTAAATAAAGGTTTTACAGGAAGCTTATTGGAAATATGTTAGACCTACGTATTAATAACCGTACGGCTAAGTGCGAACGCAACTTCAACATGTTATCTATCGTGCAACGAGTTTTTCTCATTAAAGATATGATTAATAAATAATAATTGTGCGCACTTATCGCGGTCATTGATTAACCAACTTACATTTCTATCTATAAACCATCGCAGCTAGCAGGGGGAATATTTAATATCTATTCTTCAATGCTATGCCATTGAATATCATGATTCGTAAAACAACGTTGCTTTGCGATGCTGCTGTCAGAAATAAACGGGGCTTAGGAGGAAGCGTTTCCTCTCTCGCGAAATGTCGTGAATCGTTGTGGATTATAATTCGTCCGTACAATCGCTCTCGGAGAATTTCAGCGCGCAGCGCGGCCGGTGACAGTCTTGTATTTTTAGTAGAGTAGAATACGTTTGTCCACCGCCTTGCGACATATCGGACACTCCGACATCCGGTCGCCGCACATTTGGCAAGTGCCGTGTCCGCACAGGAAGATCATGTTTTTCAGGCGGTCCAGACAAACCGGGCACATGGTCTGCAACAATAGGGAATAAGATTTTATCCCATGTAAATTATTCTACATCGGGTTTTGTCGTCCCCGTCGTGAACAGATCGGCTCGTTCAAGCCTCACCACGGTTTCCTTCAATTTGGGATCGGTACCTGCGTCTTTGTCGCGCATTTTTTAATTGTTAACGTTAACTCCTTTAGATTTTCTTCAAGTCCCACTCGTGTAATCGAATAATAAAAATAATTTCTTCCAATCAAATTCTTCTAATTCATTCATGATCAAGCCTCTCGATAAAAAAAAATTATTAAAAGAAGTTGATTTCTTCCAATCACATTCTTCTAATTTATTTATGATCAAACTTCTTGAGTCCCTTTCAAAACTAATGAGGTAAAAACTAGGAGGAGCTGCAGTTAGAGTTGTTGCGGTACTCGCGACAAGAAGGCTCGAAACGCAGTCCGAGAGAATTCTGCAGGTTTTTTTATATCCCTTTTTTTTCGAGAGCGAAAGGTAATTGTACGGTGCGCGCGGTGCGCGGACTTCTTTCTTCGACACAAATTAAATTATTCGTTTCATTAAAGCGGCGCATAACGAAGCGAGACGCGAAAGGGACACGTACCTGCTCCTTGATGTCCTGCAATTGCTGCTGTAGTTTTTGTATGTCGCTGTGGGAAGTATCTCGGCTGCCGTTGTTCATTAGGAGAGCTTCCCCAGCCACGGTGTTGTTCGAGGGCGTCGGCTCTTCCTCGGGATCCGCCTTGACTTCGGATATTGTTCCTTCGAAGCATAACAGGTTGGTTAAAAAAAAAGAGAAAGAACAAACTGAAGAAGAAAAAGGTCTTGCCAATTCCCGGACAACGGCGGCATCGCCGGGGCGATGCTCTCGTTCATCAGTCTTCGTATTTTCGCTCGCGATATAATTAATGTTATTATATCAATAGCAAAATTAATATTCTATTTTCGTAATTAATGTACAATTAAACATATGCGACAAATAACAAACGTCGAGAAGTTTTGCATCGCGAGATCTCGGTAAATATCTGTAATAAAAAAATTCTGTATTTTTTACAAATACTTTATATTATACATTAATAATCCCGCGTATCAAGGATATACGCGTGTTGGCTGGGAAGCTACTTTTGCGGCTGCGCTTTAAGAGCGATCCGATTTGCCCTTCAATCCTGTTTGCCATCATCTTAACCCTTTGAGGCATACATTTTTGTATCCGACCGATTTTTTTGAAACTTGGTACCCGGAGGTAGGTTTTTCAGGTTGCAAATCTGAAGTCACGTTGTTTAAATTCAAAATTTGACCCGGCGACAAAGTCAAAATAAAAATATCAGTATTTCAATAATTCGTTATAAAGAATGGAGCTTACAAAAACTTTTGAAAAACTACGTAAAATTAAGTGTCCTTAAGAAATCTAAGTATATTGCGGTGTATCGATCCTAAATAGTTTGCCTACGAATGATTTTTTTAAATAAAAAAGCTCTTTATGCCAAATTTGTTTCTAGTATAATTTAACAATTAAACATTTAAACTATATGCTATTTACTTTTACTTCCTTATGCTTGTATGAGTGCGTAGTAATAATATGTATAATCAACTGCATCTGCCTAGCGAAATCACTAAAAATGAAGAAACGAAAAAAAGAGAGACAATGCACGTCTCACTATGCCTCAGAGGGATTAATTATCGGAGGGCGGAAAACGTGCGTGCAAATCACAGTCCGGGTGCAGTCCGGCATATTCCGAGCGAGATTAGAGGCGAGCTGTCTAATCGTTACGTGGGAGCGGTTGAATATAATCCGCGCGATTAGATGGACCGGGACGGTGGGAGGCGAGAGGCTGCGGGAGCGAAGTGGACGTTGGTACCTGAGGTGTTGCATCCCTTCACGTAGGTGACATCACCGCCGCCGCCGCAGCAGACCGAGAGCGGCACCATGTGCAGTATCTGGGCACGGCATTGCACGCACTTCTTCATCAGGGCCGCGCAGCTCTCGCAGGCGCACATGTGTCCGCACGGGCGGAACAGCATGCCCGCCTTGCGATCCGAACACACCACGCATTCTTCGATCTGGGAACAAACGAGCATTATTGCGCCAAGGCAGGAGGTGGATGGGGACTCGCGCGTTTTGCCGAGTCTCGAGGATCTATTCCAGGACAGGACGCGGCTGTTCGGTCAACAATCGTCGGTCCGCGTGGCCGTGCCGAGTCAAATGGAGTATTTATTGCGATTAGAACTTCAGAAGGTTAAATTAAGATCGTTGAAGAGATAAATGTTCGATACGAACGTACACGGGAAAGAATTGTATCGACGATACCAGTGCAATTGAAATAAAATGAATCAAACAACGTCGGTATTAATGAATGAACGCGTCAGACAGTGGTCTTAATAATCTGGATAGTTCAATGCTTAAAATAAAAATCCGTAGCAAATACAGTTGAGTGAATTATTTACGTGACAGCATCAACGTTTAATTCATGCAACTTCAGGTTTTCTTAATTCAGCTTTTTTTCTGTGCAGAAATGTATAAAGATACGACTGATTTTTCTCTCGCGGGGAGAAAGGTTCATTTTCTCTTGAGAATCAAATTCAAAACCGTCGGAAGGGAGAAGAAATAGTTATTTCGAGCCCTTTTTTTGGGTCGTCATCAGCGGCAAAAACGAACGGCACGAGAAAATTAATTAACGCCAGTACAAATCATATAAAACAGCAGGCGAAAACAAATGCCAATTTCGATCGACCGTGAATAACGTAAGTGCTGTAATAAAAAATGATTGCAATTAAGATTGTAAGAGTCGTGACGCATTGATTAAGTTAAAGTTATTGGGTGAAAAGTAAGTTTCTAGGCGAAAAAAATGGTGTATTCCGATGGTAGAAAGTGACAGAACGATGGAGGAATACGACAATAGCGTTAATGATACTTCACCTTCACTCGAGAGAGAACGTTCTCACGACAAATCAGACATTTCTTCACCCTCGGTGCACAGGCGTTGCAACAAGCCACGTGCCCGCAGGGACTGAACAGCATCTCTCGCTTGCCGTCGGAGCATACGAGACACTCGTCGATCGCCGCCGACGGGACGATGGCTTCGATGTCGTGTCTGGAAAGGGTAGTTGCACGTTATCCTAAGAGATACGGCGATGTATGGGCGTAATTGCATGGGGAATAACAGGCGGGACGTGTAACGAGGCAGTCGATTATACGACTCTGCGTTTTTCGTTCTTCGCGAACAAACCTTTTGTCTTCTCTCTCGTTACATCGCATTAAGCATTGAACAAATCGAAGCTTGCGCAAAAGAAATTCCACGCGTTCCGCTAACAGATTACCACGGTATTTCGGCAAAGATCTCGGTTATAATATTCAACCTTGCCTTTTTGCGAAATGAACGTTCTTATTAAAAGGTTTGTAATTAGGATGCAAAGGGGTTGGAAAGCGTTCGGTCTTCCCTCCCGAATACTAACGACTCCTTGTCCTTGTGACAGGTGGTGAGAGTCTTGCAGAGATTCGGATCCGGGCAGAGGTCCAAGGGCGTCTGGCCCTTCTTGTTCTTCAGCTCCAGGTCGGCGCCGTGCGCAGCGAGGAAGCACGCGATGAAGGAGCTGCTCTTCTTGTCCTGGCCCTGAGTGCCCAGGCCCATCAGCAGCCGCCCGACGTCCTGCACGTCCTGCAGCTGCCGCAACTGCGACAGCGTGTGATGGCGCAGGGCCTCGTGCAGAGGCGTGTCCCCGTCCTTATCGGCGACGTTCAGATTCGCGCCCTCGCGCACCAGCAGCTGCGGCCGGAACAAATTATCGCGAAATGAATTATCGATCCTCTCCGCGGGGAAAGAACAACGTACTCGAATTATCCTATTATCGGATGTCGATTCAAAAAATGTTATCCTAATGTCTACTGGGGGAATTTGATTATTAAGTGCTGCGATTGTGTTTTTTTTCCCCGAAGGATTATTCTAATTTTCGCAGGTGTATTCGCGGAAACGTATGTACCCGGACGATCTGCGTGTGCTGTCGCTCGACCGCGAGATGCAGGGCGGTCTGCAGGTTCACGTTCTGCAGGTCCAGATCGGCCTTTCCGGCGCGCGCCAGTTGCTCCGCGACCTCCACGTGATTGTTAAGGGCAGCCAAGTGAAGGGCCGTGTAGCCGTCGTCTTTCTTCTCGTCGACGATCCAGGGCCGCGGTAATTTCGACAGCAGCACCCGCATCGCGCTGAAATCAAACGAAATGGCCGGGCATTAAGACAAAAAGTCGCGATTGCATTCTCAAAGCGGAAAATCCATTTCCCGTCACGCTCACAATTTTAGTTCGAATTATCTTGCAACGAAGTTGCCCCAAATTAATTTCCACGTCTCCCTAGAAACGTTCTGAATAAAACGTCATAAGGACGCACAGGGTTTTTATTTTCTATATTTTGTTCTATTTTACGCGATTACTTTTATTATCTGCACACGACGCACGTCCTGTTATCTTTTCTTCTCCAGAGGCCATTCAATTTATTATTATTTTAACTAATTGTATTTCAATATATTCTATTACCAATATTTGATTTCACAGAGAACATTTTTTGAGAATAATACATTGATTTTCGTCTACTTTACAACATAAATCCAAGCGTTCTCGTTAGATGATGCACTTCCGTGTATCTCGCGTGCATTTCTAACTACTCGCCGTGGCAGTAATGGGACCCCATGGTAAGGTGGCAAAGAGGGACGGGAACAGCTGTTCCTTAGGGTCTCCGTCGAGGGGACCTCTTCGAGGCGGCTGCCATTGCCGCGGCATGAGGGATCGACGTGTGTCTCATCACATATGTGATTCCTGCATATGTTTCGAAATATCTCGCAAACGGCTCGGCAGGCCATCCCGCGCTTCTCTTTCCCAACCTTTTGAGAGAATGCCTCGCGTCAATTACGCCACGGCACGTTTCACGGAATCAGAAGTCCGACTGCAGGAGTTTGCGGAACTTTCAGTAATTACAGGCGCTTAATATTTCTGCACTTGCTGTGGAACGCAAGTAACAATTGTTTGGGTGAAAGATCGAGACTTTTTTTTTCGAATAAAAAGATACATTAGATTCGACTTCTCCGTGGCTTTTCCAGTTTATTTTATTAACAAAATGGACAACTTGCGCGGTTCCAAACCCGGAAGCCAAACCTTGGTATTCACGAGAAGAAAAAATTCTTAACTTTTGACGGTCAAAATGTGTGATAAGTGATAACTTGTGGATTATTGAATTCCTTGAGAAGGACCACAACCCGTATGGTCGAAACGTCGGATTTAAATGAAGAAACCATCTGCCAGCCTAAAGTCGTCTAACAATTTACCTTTTATCGTTAATCAACTACTGGCGATTAACATTCTTGCCTTGCGACAAGTGTCCCAGTCACGTGTTTCAGGATTCAAGTGAAATAATCTGTGGCAAAATTACTCTTCGCACACACGCAGAACGCACAAACTGTATTATAACTGTATGCTCGCGCGAGAGTCGTAATACCCGCGTTAAATTCGCGATGCTGTTATAGATGTCGACCGTCGTTCTCTCGCTCCGCGGGAGTCCATCAAACTTTTATGGCGCGTCGTTTTTCATTAATGTCTAAGGGATGCGTTTTGCATCCAAGTGCGATCGCGGCATCTCAACTCACAGCAGCAGCAACGGCAGCAACAGTGGCTGCTGCAGCAGCAGCAGCAGCAGCAGCAGCAGCAGCAGCCGCGAGTCGCAGCCAATGCTCCTTGTCATGAATATGCAAATGATCGCGAGTGTTACCGTTACCGCGTTAATAACCATAAATCGATTACTTTGCCAATTATGCCCGGGTACGTACTCGTGCCGGCGGCATCGACGACGCTCCCGCGATTTTATTGCACCGTTGACCGGCCCCGGTTGATTTCATTCCGCTCCCGCTGCACCGCGGCTCCCTCTTTTTTCCCCTTCCCGCCGCCAATTTTCACGGCTTGCCGAAATAATTACGAGCGAAACGATAGGAGTAACGTGGCGATTAAGGTCACTCGGTTTATGCCGGCATTGTTTTCAAAGCAATTTAAAAAGATGTACGTAACTTGAGTAATAGATATCGCGCGTTCATTTCAATCAAGCTTGGATTCAACAGCTCGGTGGGAATAGAAAGGGTACACGTGACAAAATCGCTTGAGAACAATTAAAAATTGTTACATGCTACCTCGCCCTGAAAAAAGGACGTTTTCACTAAAACAAACTTCTGACTTTATGCTAGAGCAAGGGTCCATTGTTAACGTAAGTTCGGCCAGGCCGAAGTCTCACGTGTCTCCTTTCTGTTCTCACTGGTTCGATCGGTCCACTCTCATAACGTGTAATTGTATCCTAATTGATCGGAGAAAATAAGATAGGTAAAGTAATGGCATGTATAGCGGAAAGTCCTCTAATAGGTACCTACATGTATGAGATAGTAGGCTCTCGGCGTTCAAATTCAATCACGAATCTTTTTTCGCGACGATTACTCGATCTAACAATCAGTTTTCCGCAGATTTCACTCCAGGGGCAATAGATTCATGGCGGAACCAACAGATGACGTCAATTAATTAGCAGAGACTCCGCTATCGCATATCAGGAGACTGTCTTATAACAGGGGACTCTCCTCTACTTTTTAACATCAAGTGTTATCTATCGCGGCACGTACGACGGATCGACTCATCTCTTTCGCAAGGTCGTATCTCGGTTTTACGTAATTTCTAGTTTCTGCGCTCATTCTGGTCCAGAAGCACAAAAGCCAGAAATTGCGTAAAATCGAGATACTACCCTGCGAAGGAGATCAATCGATATGCAACAAGTAGCAAGTTACAAAATATCGGGAGTAGGAAGGTGCAAAGGCGCAATTTTGGCTTTCGCGTCTACCGGAATGAGGCTCGGCACCTTTTTATAACAGAAACCGACGCGCTGTCGCCGGGGAGAATTTATTGTTCTCCATTGAACATTTCTCCCGTCGAGTTCCGCGCGGGATCTCGCGCATGAATGAAAGGCGCCGCGACGTTGATTTAAGGTCGCTGATAATTATCGCAATTACAACGGCAGCCTCGCGCGATGTAATAAATAGAAATATAAGCGTGCGCGAGCGCGCGAGAGCGCGCGACGCTCCGGTTATTGCGTGCTCCCGTCAGCCTCCGGTTTAATATCATTCCGCCGCGTTTCGTGCGCGCTCAAGACGGGAGAACTCGTCGCAATCGTCTCGGCCCGGGGCCCGCATAAATACCCCGCGCCTCACTTACAAGCGGCGTATATCGCGACGCGTGATATTATTACCGCGATTAATTTCCCCGTCGCTCGTCGACGAGAGGACTTTTGTCCGCCGTCGACGTCTCTATTCCTTTATTGGCATCAATGGACCGTCGTTAGGCATTCCCGGCGCGCGCTACTCGATATCGTTACGCCGACACGCCAGTTCGCGGCTGATCGTTACGGCTTCAAAGCACCCGTTTATTGTAGTATCGCATCGGGATTAGAGGCACCGACGTCATTCTGGTGAGCGCAGAGATCACGAACGGAGATGATTCGGACGCGAACTAAGGCCCGGTTTCACCGAACGTCGTTTAACTTCAGTCTTGGTTTAATTCACGTTCGTCTCTCCCTAAAGTAGCAGTTAGAAAGAGACAAAGAACGGATCAAGCTAAGCTTAAAGCGACGTTGGTGAAACCGGGCCTAAGCACCGATTCGGGCGAGATTTTTTTGACACACACACGTTGTCACGCGCGCAAAAAAAAAGTGTCGAATAAAACGAAATATTTCTTAACTCGGTTAATGATGTGCGGCGGTGCACGCAGATATTTAATTCGCAAAGATATCGCGTTTCGATAACGCAAACGACATAAATATTCGAACAAAGAAACGAGTGCCAATTAAACGTATATTTAATCGTGTCGACAATTCTTCTTCTCGGTACGCTGCGTTTGCGCGTGTGAAAAAATTTGTGCCTTCTCATTCTGCCGTTGACCCCATCGCGAATTTAGCCTCGTTCACGCCTTTCTCTAAACGTAAGCTTGGCTGACGTTCTCCCGTTGGACTTTCCTGAGGTTTTGGCATTTTTCAATGTTTTCCACTTTCGGCAGACCAGCGGATTCATCTTGCGCGGATCGGACAAATCGGGCGCGATTTTACGGCGGGACAATTTCATCGGGCGGACTCCAGATGAAGTCCCGAATGTACAGCGTTGGACAGAATGGTTGCGACACTTTTTCTTTTTAACGAGTTTAGAAACGTGCATTTAGATTCAGGGTTGCGTGTCAAAATCTCCTTCTCCGGGGAATATTTTACTCGATAGCCATTCCGAAACCATTTCCAGCGTTTCCGATCTATTTCTTGAGTAAAAATTTCCTCATAAAAAAGGTTTTGGAACATCAAAGTGTGTTGCAACCATTCTGTCCATAACTGTACAGCGATGGAGAGAATGGTTGTGACACTTTCTGTTATTAATAAGTTTAGAAACGTGCGTTTAGATTCAGAGTTACGTTTCAAAATCTTCTTCACTGTACAGTGATGGACAGAATGGTTACGATAAGCCTGAATCTAAACGCTCGTTCGTAGACTCATAAAACATTGTCGCAACCATTCTGTCCATCGCTGTACAATCGCAACTATTCTATCCATCACTGTACAGTGATGGACAGAATGGTTACGATAAGCCTGAGTCTAACTGTGCGTTCCTAAACTCATTACAAAAGTGTCGCAACCATTCTGTCCACCGCTGTGCAGTTGCAATCATTCTGTCCATCGCTGTACAGTCGCAATCATTCTGTCCATCGCTGTACAGTAATGGACAGAATGGTTACGATAAGCCTGAGTCTGTACGTTCCTAAACTCATTACAAAAGTGTCGCAACCATTCTGTCCACCGCTGTGCAGTTGCAATCATTCTGTCCATCGCTGTACAGTCGCAATCATTCTGTCCATCGCTGTACAGTCGCAATTATTCTATCCATCGGTGTACAGTGACGGATAGAATGGTTAAGATAAGCCTGAACGCGCGTTCCTAAACTCATTACAAAAGTGTCGCAACCATTCTGTCCGTCACTGTACACGTAAAATTGTCGATCGCGCTCGCTCGCTCGCTCGCTCGCTCGCCTCGGAGGGTCGGGCTCGCGCGATTCGCGCACGCATATATCGGGCATTTAGTGAGTCAGCGACACGGCCGTGGCATCATCGCGGTCGGCCGGAGTCTACCGAGAACCCGATGCGCCACGGGGACG